AAGGAAATCGGAGTATAAAAGGATAGATCCGACTTGGATCCAACGGTCCTAACTCGCCCTATTCTCCTCTAAGTCGAGTTAAGGCTAGTAGGGAATGAATAGGTAAGAAGTTTGTCATTCAAAGCTTGGAAGGAAATTGGAGTGTGTGCGGCACCTTGCCACTGCCACTGTCAACCAACCTTCAAGAAGGAAGGAGGGGCGTGTGGGAGGAGAGGGGAGGTGGAGGGGGTAGGGTGACAGATATTGAGGAGACATTTGAAGGAGTGGTACTAGAGGACAAGGGGCATGTGGAAGAGACACACAGGCAGTCGTGGTGTTGGTGATGTGGGAAGGAGAGAGAGGTGCTGCCTGCAGGTGCTACAGTGCTGCTGCTTGGCTGGGTCGTGATGGCGGGAAAGATGGGGGTCCCGGACGGGAAGGGACACAAAGAAGGGGCATGACCCAAAGGCATGAAGCGCAGGGCATAATGCGATCGTATGATCAAACTGCTGACAGCAGGCTAGAAGGAAGGAGGAGAGGATAGGGAGGATGAGATATAAGGTATGGGATGAGGCATGGGATGAGGCATGGGATGAGGTATGGAATGAAAAATGGGATGAGGCATGGGATGAGGTATGGAATTAAAAATGGGATGAGGCATGGGATGAGATATGAAATGACGGTAAGGGCAAGGAATGAGATGAGGTATGCAATGAGGCATGATTTGGGGTATGGGATGCGGGATCGGATACGGTATGGAACGGGTATGGGGTGAGGTGTGGGATGATGTATGGGATGAGGAATGGGATGGGGTGCACTTGCAAAGCGGTTCCAACTCTGCTGCTTGGCTGGGATGGTGGGTAGAGGAGCAAGAGTATGCATGAGGCAATGGGGAAGCAATGGCGAGTAGAATAGGAGGATACAAACGGGAAAGGGACACACACCTGGTTCGTGCATGGGGTGATCTAATGAGGGGCACGACATTGTAGGGTGAAGGGCATAACACAACGGATGAACAGGGTGGCAGGGGATGCTGGGAACAGTTGTTGACCGTAAGAATCACAGAAGGGAGGGCATAGAGAGACAAGGAAGGTTACAGGGAGAGAGCGGGAAAATGAGAATGTGAACGGAAAAGAATAAAAGGATCATGAAGGGGAAGAAGAGATATCAAGATGGCTATCTTCTTCCCCTTGATGCTCCCATACCAAGATGATGCTGCTCGGCTGGGTCGGTGTGGAAGCAAATGGGAGGGTGACGGTGGGCAGATGAGGAGGACCTGAGATGGGGAGGAGCGTGGGAGGGGTATGTTGTGATGAACAAAACAAAAGGAAAAGGGGTCACGGGGCAAGCACCTAAGCCTCTGTCACGAACCACCCTTGCCATGAACAAATGAAAGAGCCAAACCACTTCTCCCACAAACCCACTGAAAAGAATTGCTTTGCAAATCCCCAGGAACCACCTGTTCGAGCAACCTGCCTCTGCCAGGTACCCGCCCTACCCACCTCCGCCATGACCAGTTCCACCAGGTTCTCTCAACAAGTGAGGCAGCCGGTCATTGGAGTACGAACAGCCCACAGGTACATTCACTTGCTGACACGACTTCCACTCACTCACACAGTCCCACCACCCCATCAACCACCGGCACGTTGATCTGTCAGGACATATTCATTCCTCGCTGCAAATCCATCAGTGTGAGGTCCTGAGCAGCGTCGATACCACCAGTCCTGGTGAGGGTGAGCAATGAACAGGAGCGACAGAAGAGTGGAAAATGAAGCGCCGCGAGCAAATGAAGCGAATGCAGCAGTGGGAGGGAGTCAGCGGGCATAGTGCTAGGCGGGTGAGCGGGCAGGCAGTAGGGATGTGCAGCTGGAGTTGTGCACCCACCACACTCCAGTGCCTTGGTGCTCCCAGCACTGCTGGTGGCGTCCATGGCCATCATCACCACCACCACATCCATTGCCCCACCGTTTTCATCCGCCCGTGCTGCTGGTGGAAGTGACCGCATGGGAGCATGGGCATCGCCAGCAGAGCTGAGAGCATGGGCAGGCAGTGTGGCCTTAGAAGCCGAGCCGCCCCTCCCCTGTTGTACCCCCCTGCTGCCATGCCATGCAGTACGGCCACCACCACTCATGCATCCACCCACTCCCACGGTCATGCCCTCCCTACCTTCCATTGTGCTAGCCTCACTCCATCCCACCCATCCATCCCATCTCCTCCTCTACTCGCTGCACCAATCCCATCCCATCCCAACCAATCCATTCCATCCCATCTCCTTCCCTTCCCTCCCATGCCGACCCAACCCATCCCATCTTATGTCCTCCCTTCCCCTCCCCTCCCGTCTCATCCCCTCCCATCCCAACCCATTCCCTCCCATCGCAACCCATCCGAACCCATCCCATCCCATCTGCCACACACCTGACAGCCTGACCGCTGGCTCAAGGTGAGCTGCACGTCACCATGCCGGGCGTCATGTCCACCACGAGCACGTCCATCCCCCCCACTCCGTCCCCCTTACAAGCTTCTCCACTGCCGCCATCACATCACCATGGGCCGACGCCATACGGTCGCCACGTGTGCAGGCATGAGGAAGCCCACACTCCCAGCCCACGTGAGCGGACATGCAGAGCATGCCGTGCGCCTGCATGCGTGGGGGAAGGGCGAGGCGAGCAGGGGGCAGCCGGCAGTCTCCAGGCCCAGCGGGCAAGAAGGGGGAGGAGGCGACAATGTGCAGGCCGAGCAGGTTGGGCAGTGAGGGGCGAACACGTCAGCGTCCAGCAGCCCCACTTGCGAGTGCCACTGCCAGGTTCACTGTGGGGGAAAGAGGGAGAGGTGGGGGAGGGGGAGGGGATGATGGGGATTGGGGGGAGGAGGGGAGGAGGGAATGTGGGATGGTTAAATGAGGGGGATGCGGGGATGGGGGGATAAGGGAAGATGGGCATGCGATTAGAGGCATGCATTGAGAGGTGCGGGGTGAGGGGCACGGTGGAAGAGGCATACAGGGGGAGGCACGCGGTCAGGTGCATGGGGCGAGAGGGATTTTAGGAAAGGAAGGGGGTGATAGAATGGGGTGAATGGTATGTGTGGAAGAAGGCAGGGGTGAGTACAGCGTGTATGGGAGCCTGTCGACATGCAGTGAAGGAAAGGGGGATGGGGAGGCTGACGGGAAGGGGGATGGGTAAGAGAGGAAGGGAAGGTGGGTGGGGAGGGGGAACAGGAGGGGGGTGGGGAGGGGGATAGGCAGGTAACGAAGGCGGATGGGAAAAGCAGTAGGGAGGAGGGGGAGGAGAGGGTGGGATATGATGAGCGGAGAGGAAGCGGCGAGGGGCATGGCCGTGAGGCGGTGATTCAGTGACGTGCAGCAGCAGTGGTGGACTTGCCGACGCCGCCTTTCGCGAACGCCACAACCACGATGTGCTTCACCCCTGGCAGCAATAAACTGTCGTCGCCATCGCCTCTGCTGCCACTGCAGCTTCTATCGTTGCTGCTGGTGGTAAAACCGATGCTGCTGCCATGTGGAGTCCACATACTCCCACCAGTGCTGCCTAGCTTGCTGCTGCAAGTCATACCGCTGGAGGTAGCTATGCTGCCTATACGCACAGCACTGTTGCTGTCTAGCGTGCTGCTGCGGGTAGCACTGCGACTAAAGGCAGGGCAGGGAAACTGGTCCAGCTTGGGACCGGCATGTAGCGCGGGAAGGTGACGACCAGCCAAGCGGGTAACGCCACCCAGCCATGCAGCACCCAGCCATGCAGCACCCAGCCATGCAGCACCCAGCCATCATCCGAAAAAATGTCGTTCGGAAATTCTGCTCTGGTGTTACTTGAAATCTTACTTCCTCGTAATGGTTTGGAAAGTATGGCTGATGTTCGTGGCCATTATGCTTTTTCAGCTGTTTGTGAGCAGAGCGCACTTAGTACATTCCCAACTTCGAGGGACCAACCAAGGACCATTTCGTATAGGTTTGGCAGTTGGTGCGATTGGGCGTCCCTCAGTTGAGGAAGGAACAACAACATTAGAGGAGGTTCGGATTGGCCATTCGTCCCTCCAACATTGTTGGAGCGCCAATGGATATCCCAACTCCCTCCCTCTACGATAGTTTCGAAATGTGGTGTTGAGCAAAGAATGTAAAATTCGATATAAATTTCATTGTCTCGCGAATTTAAATTTACGACTAATTTAAAGTGCTTTAATCGAGCGGGTAATACAATTGATGTGCTGCTTCATTGATCTCGCTATAAAACTGCAAATTAATGAATTCGCTACATTTCGGGTTCGTAATGAATCAATATAAAATATGAGTTTTATATTTTTTAAATGATCCGTTATTGATATTCAATTATTTATTAAAAGAACATTTATTACTTAGTGTTATACTAGAAGCAGGGAAACCTACAGCAAACAGTGCTACATTTTGAAAACACCAAAACTAATACGTGAAAGCACTAGCTACTAGGCCCTCGAGACCCTCACCACTAATAAAAACAACATCGCTGCGCGCGAACGACCATGCCCCAACACCCGGCCGCCACCAGGGACCATTTGCGGCTGTTGCTCCTCCAATTGCAGCTCTTGTCCAGTTCCAAATCTTGTTGTAATAAATGTTCACATCGCGGATGTTCTCGTTGGTGCTTCTCGGCAAATCACTGCCGTGGATGACGCGGTGCTCCACCTGAGGTGGTAGGGAATACCATGACTAGTATCTGCACGAGAAGATCCTTAAAAAGAATGTAGCAGATGCAGCAAACTGCACTCACCCCATTCAGCCAGAACGCTAGTAACTTCAGCGGGAGAATAAGCCTGCGACCTTGGGGGCGCTTGAATGAGGCGCTGATTGCATTTATGAAGCAAGGTGATGCAAACGGCACACGGTGCTCATTCATGTGCCAAGTAAGCATGTTGAACGATGCAGGGCCTGTCGTGTCGTAGGGGAAAGATACGATACTTTGTGAAACAGTTGGAATGTGAAGCATTAGTCAGGCAAAATGGAAAAGGAAGGTACACATAGGACTGGCAGGCTGGGCCTATCCTGGCCTTGCTTGCTGCTGGGGTGGGGAGGGGAAAACAGGGAGGGAAAGAGGGTACACTGGGGACTGTTGGGCTCTGCCTTGGCTGACTTTGCTTGCTGCTGGGGTGGGGAGGGGAAAACAGGGAGGGAAAGAGGGTACACTGGGGACTGTTGGGCTCTCCCTTGGCTGGTTTTGCTTGCTGCTGGGGTGGGGAGGGGAAACCAGGGAGGGAAAGAGGGTACACTGGGGACTGTTGGGCTCTGCCTTGGCTGGCTTTGCTTGCTGCTGGGGTGGGGAGGGGAAACCAGGGAGGGAAAGAGGGTACACTGGGGACTGTTGGGCTCTGCCTTGGCTGGCCTTGCTTGCTGCTGGGGTGGGGAGGGGAAAAGAGGGAGGGAAAGAGGGTACACTGGGGACTGTTGGGCTCTGCCTTGGCTGGCATTGCTTGCTGCTGGGGTAGGGAGGGGAAAACAGGGAGGGAAAGAGGGTACACTGGGGACTGTTGGGCTCTGCCTTGGCTGGCCTTGCTTGCTGCTGGGGTGGGGAGGGGAAACCAGGGAGGGAAAGAGGGTACACTGGGGACTGTTGGGCTCTGCCTTGGCTGGCCTTGCTTGCTGCTGGGGTGGGGAGGGGAAAAGAGGGAGGGAAAGAGGGTACACTGGGGACTGTTGGGCTCTGCCTTGGCTGGCATTGCTTGCTGCTGGGGTGGGGAGGGGAAAACAGGGAGGGAAAGAGGGTACACTGGGGACTGTTGGGCTCTGCCTTGGCTGGCATTGCTTGCTGCTGGGGTGGGGAGGGGAAACCAGGGAGGGAAAGAGGGTACACTGGGGACTGTTGGGCTCTGCCTTGGCTGGCCTTGCTTGCTGCTGGGGTGGGGAGGGGAAACCAGGGAGGGAAAGAGGGTACACTGGGGACTGTTGGGCTCTGCCTTGGCTGGCCTTTCTTGCTGCTGGGGTGGGGAGGGGAAAAGAGGGAGGGAAAGAGGGTACACTGGGGACTGTTGGGCTCTGCCTTGGCTGGCCTTGCTTGCTGCTGGGGTGGGGAGGGGAAAACAGGGAGGGAAAGAGGGTACACTGGGGACTGTTGGGCTCTGCCTTGGCTGGCCTTGCTTGCTGCTGGGGTGGGGAGGGGAAACCAGGGAGGGAAAGAGGGTACACTGGGGACTGTTGGGCTCTGCCTTGGCTGGCCTTGCTTGCTGCTGGGGTGGGGAGGGGAAAAGAGGGAGGGAAAGAGGGTACACTGGGGACTGTTGGGCTCTGCCTTGGCTGGCCTTGCTTGCTGCTGGGGTGGGGAGGGGAAACCAGGGAGGGAAAGAGGGTACACTGGGGACTGTTGGGCTCTGCCTTGGCTGGCCTTGCTTGCTGCTGGGGTGGGGAGGGGAAAACAGGGAGGGAAAGAGGGTACACTGGGGACTGTTGGGCTCTGCCTTGGCTGGCCTTGCTTGCTGCTGGGGTGGGGAGGGGAAACCAGGGAGGGAAAGAGGGTACACTGGGGACTGTTGGGCTCTGCCTTGGCTGGCCTTGCTTGCTGCTGGGGTGGGGAGGGGAAAACAGGGAGGGAAAGAGGGTACACTGGGGACTGTTGGGCTCTGCCTTGGCTGGCCTTGCTTGCTGCTGGGGTGGGGAGGGGAAAACAGGGAGGGAAAGAGGGTACACTGGGGACTGTTGGGCTCTGCCTTGGCTGGCCTTGCTTGCTGCTGGGGTGGGGAGGGGAAACCAGGGAGGGAAAGAGGGTACACTGGGGACTGTTGGGCTCTGCCTTGGCTGGCCTTGCTTGCTGCTGGGGTGGGGAGGGGAAACCAGGGAGGGAAAGAGGGTACACTGGGGACTGTTGGGCTCTGCCTTGGCTGGCCTTGCTTGCTGCTGGGGTGGGGAGGGGAAAACAGGGAGGGAAAGAGGGTACACTGGGGACTGTTGGGCTCTGCCTTGGCTGGCCTTTCTTGCTGCTGGGGTGGGGAGGGGAAAACAGGGAGGGAAAGAGGGTACACTGGGGACTGTTGGGCTCTGCCTTGGCTGGCCTTGCTTGCTGCTGGGGTGGGGAGGGGAAAACAGGGAGGGAAAGAGGGTACACTGGAATCAATTTCAACGTACGGGCTCATTTGGAAGGAGAGGGAGGAACGGGGGTGGGGTAGGGGCGGGGGTGTGATAGGAGTACTAAAGCATACTCACTTTCAACGTACTGGTCCAAGAACAGCACTGTCGTGAGGGTGCCTACTTTCTTCCCACCGAGCCTTGGCCGTCGCACGTACAAGTCGAAGTCGTCGTACACCCAATTGCGCCCATCCGTCAATGCGTCGTTGCGATACGCTTGAATCATGTCACGAATGTAGCCGTTCCTGTACTTGTCAGCTTTCAGAACCATACGCACTATAAAATGCTCTTCCGGCTCATTGAGGCCTAGGGCCTTGCGCAGGGCCGCCTCTAGGCGTTCGGTACTAGGCCACATTGTGAAATCAGTGACTGGGGTGTCAAAAAACATGATATCAAGAGCCTCATCCACGTGGTCCTGCAGGAGAGCAACAAAAATTGTGCACAACATGGCAGAGTGGGAAAGAGAATAGGGGAGGGAAGGGAGGGCGTGAATGTATGTGGCATGAGGAGTTTGCGGGGTGGGGGTTGTAGGCACCCAGTGCTAATGTCATTTGTAAGCATGGCGAAGGCTGAAACGAAGGGTTGCTGCTCACCTTAAGGTCCCCGTTCACATCCGGGAAAGCATCTAACGCCGTGATGACGTTATTGTACCACCCGTGTTGCCGTGGCGACATTGCAGAGCAGTCGATGGCCTGTCGTCTGATGTGTGCCTTTGCCACAGCACGGCTAAAAGCGGCCTGCGTTCGTGGCCACACCACTGGTGAGGAAATCAGGGTCGGTGTTGCATTTGGCTGGGTGCAAGGTCGAGTGGTTGAAGGAGCAAGCTGGGGTGCAACCGGCAACTGTTGGGAAGGGCTGGGCATATTGGCCTGGCGCATAACCATGGCGTGACTGCCAGTATGAGGGCCTTTTTGCTGAGGTTGCTGATTCTCCAACTCAGCTATGCGTCGCGCCTGTTGTCGGATTTGCGCTTGCGCGGCCTCAAAAGCGGCTCGCGAAACCCTGGTTGCAGCAGGCCGCTGTTCACCATCATGCTCATAATGATTCTCCAAGGAGTCATCATCGTCGGAGTCTTCATCCGACCCGGCCTCCACATGTGATGGTCCAGGGTCTGGGAGAGCGGACTTCTGTTTGCGCGCACGGAGTGCCCATGGGAGTCCAGACGGCTGCAATTGTGTAGTAGGGGGCGCCACTGCGGCAGCAGGGGGTGCAGAGGCTGGTGGGATGAGGCCGGAGCCAGGCTGACCTGAGTTGGTTGGGTGCAACCCAGGATTGATATAGGAGGGCGAGGGTGAGAGTGCACTGGGAGCAGGTGTCAGGGAGGTCGATCCAGGTGCAACTGCGGGCCTGGACTGGCCAGGAACCGAGACGTGCACATAGGCAGCGGAGGGAGAGATCCGGGTAGCAAGCTGATGAGTCGCCGCCGCTGCGTTGAAATCTCTGGAGGAGGGAGTGATAGTGGCGGGTGCAGCTGAAGGGGAGGCAGAGGCGGAGGTCAGGCCAGGGATTGAGTGAGAGGCGGCGAGCTGATGAGTCGCCGCTGCGTCGACATAGGCGGAGGAGGGAGAGATAGTGGCGGCTGCAGCTGAAAGGGAGGCAGAGGCGGAGGGCAGGCCAGGGTTTGAGTGAGAGGCGGCGAGCTGATGAGTCGCCGCTGTGTTGACATAGGCGGAGGAGGGAGTGATATTGGCGCCTGCAGCTGAAAGGGAGGCAGAGGCGGAGGGCAGGCCAGGGAATGACTGAGAGGCGGCGAGCTGATGAGTCGCCGCTGCGTCGACATAGGCGGAGGAGGGAGAGATAGTGGCGGCTGCAGCTGAAAGGGAGGCAGAGGCGGAGGGCAGGCCAGGGTTTGAGTGAGAGGCGGCGAGCTGATGAGTCGCCGCTGTGTTGACATAGGCGTAGGAGGGAGTGATAGTGGGGGCTGCAGGTGAAAGGGAGGCAGAGGCGGAGGGCAGGCCAGGGAATGACTGAGAGGCGGCGAGCTGATGAGTCGCCGCTGCGTTGACATAGGCGGAGGAGGGAGAGATAGTGGCGGCTGCAGCTGAAAGGGAGGCAGAGGCGGAGGGCAGGCCAGGGATTGAGTGACAGGCGACGAGCTGATGAGTCGCCGCTGCGTTGACATAGGCGGAGGAGGGAGTGATAGTGGCGGCTGCAGCTGGAAATGAGGCGTTATGTGCATGTTGACCATTGCCTTGAGTGTATGTGTCTGCTCCACAACCGCCATCACCAAGTGCATCAGCGCAGCCTTTCTTGCCCGTGCGGACCAAAGTATAACGTCTACTTTAAACAACTTTTACATTTAATGTCCCATTTCCGAAGTCAACAAACAGAACAATTAAAATTCACAAATGGTCACAAATACAGGCGATATCGGATCATGGCCGACAAAAAGCGTACGCATGGTGAGGTTTATCACTATATTGTCCATGTTGTCTTCAAATACATGACTGTGAGAATAAGCGAACAGGAATGAGTGAACTAGAAGTGAAATGAGTACAAGTAGTAAACCCTAGAATTGTGTACCCCCTATAGGCTAACCCACTGTAGCCTACACAAGCATAACATGTATAATGTTTGACAATGACAGCCTGTGTTAATTCAACAATAATCCAATGAGTTGATATTATTTTATATAAATATATATACATATTGAGCTTTTATATCGAAGATGTATGTTCTGGCTACCTTGTCATAATGTTTTTGATCTCTAGCCTGCAGTGGGTTACTCTATAGTGAGTACAAACCCTTAGGGTTTCCTATATGTATCCTGTTGCTTTCTAGTGAACCCTCTCCTTTGCTTATTCTCTCTTGCGTAGCTAGGGCTTAACTAGCTATGGCTCCTGCTTATGCTTACTATTCTCACATACCTATCCTTGAATAGATTTGGTCCGTTTTGCGCACCGACGCTTGTCTACCTCATTAAATCAGTTGCGAATGATCTCAAACACGGACAGCCTCACCTAGATACATAGTAGAGGCTTTTGGTGCAAAGAAATAGGAGTCAAAACAAGTGACGGGGCTCAAAAATGCTGATAGTATGTTGGCTGCCTATCATTGAACAGATTTGGACCGTTCTGCGCACCGACGCTTGTCTACCTATCCAAATAAGTTGCGAATGGTCTCAAACCCGGAGAGCCTCACCTAACCCTATATTAGAGGATATTGGTGCAAAGAAACGGGAGTCAAAACAAGTGACGGGGCTCTAAACTTCTGATAGTATGTTGGCTGCCTATCCTTGAACAGATTTGGTCCGTTCTGCGCACCGACGCTTGTCTACCTATCCAAATCAATTGCGAATGGTCTCAAACCCGGAGAGCCTCACCTACATACATATTAGAGGCAATTGGTGCAAAGAGACGGGAGTCAAAACAAGTGACGGGGCTCTAAACTGCTGATAGTATGTTGGCTGCCTATCCTTGAACAGATTTGGTCCGTTCTGCGCACCGACGCTTGTCTACCTATCCAAATAAGTTGCGAATGGTCTCAAACCCGGAGAGCCTCACCTACATACATAGTAGAGGCAATTGGTGCAAAGAGACGGGAGTGAAAACAAGTGACGGGGCTCTAAATTGCTCATAGTATGTTGGCTGCCTATCCTTGAAAAGATTTGGTCTGTTCTGCGCAACGACGCTTGTCTACCTATCCAAATCAGTTACGAATGGTCTCAAATCCGGAGAGCCTCACCTACATACATAGTAGAGGCTATTGGTGCAAAGAAACGGGAGTCAAAACCAGTGGCGGGGCTCTAAACTGCTGATAGTATGTTGGCTGCCTATCCTTGAACAGATTTGGTCCGTTCTGCGCACCGACCCTTGTTTACCTATCCAAATCAATTGCGAATGGTCTCAAACCCGGAGAGCCTCACCTAAATACATAGTAGAGGCTATTGGTGCAAAGAAACAGGAGTCAAAACAAGTGACGGAGCTCTAGACTGCTGATAGTATGTTGCCCGCCTATCCTTGAACAGATTTGGTCCGTTCTGCGCACCGACGCTTGTCTACCTATCCAAATCAGTTGCGAATAATCTCAAACCTGGACAACTTCTCCATGATACATATTAATGGCAATTGGTACAAAGAAACGGGAGTTAAAATAAGTGACGGTGCTCTAAACTGCTGATAGTGTGTTGGCTGCTTATCCATGACACTGTGCAAGGATAGGCATGTACGCAACATGTCACCGTTTCAACGTTTCGTTATGTTTTTCTTTGTTATTTCTTCGTTCATTCATGTAATACATCATTAGTAATTGCCATAGGGACTGGAACGAACTCGTTTGCATAACTACCCTGCACGCGACTCTTCTCGTATTTCTGCCCTTTCGTCTTCGTTCTCCTTTGTAATTGCTTCATTCACTTTCGTCAGGAGTGAACAGCAGTTTTCCAATTTTTTTATTCGTAACAAGTATCGTTGTACAACAATGTATTTGCTATACCTGTAAATAGGCATCTATTACATTACGCACATTTTTAATGCTTTAGAGCACAACTATTGCTTTTAAAGGTATATGTTTTACAATCTAAGTCTGTACAGATAATGTGCTATTATTACATTTTTCAGTTCGCCAGCACAACAGTTTTGTTCGAGGCCCAGAGCCAATGGGACACGGGTGCCCAGTTCCGGGCCTCGACCTAGGTGTCCCGAGGCTCAAATATGAGTTCGGCCCCGCCAAACGAGTTCTTCGACGAATCGTGTGGTTTCCGAAGCTGCAAAAATGTCTGCCCAAGCAGCTTTGAGAGTCCCGAAGCAGCAATCCCTGATTTCGTTTCGACGCGACGCGTCGAAAGTATCTTTCCCCACCCAGTTGAACAAGTTACTTCAGACATACCCTATTATACACACACGGGTGACGTCAGCGCATGCCGCCCCGCCCGCCCTGGCACATTCGAAATTCGGGCCAAACCGAAAAACCCGCGGAATCCCTCCGGGCCCCCGAAATTCCCCGGCAGACCAGGCAAAAAAAACCCGCAGAAACCCGCGGGTTCAATGTCGTATTCTTATGCCAATATATATGTCGGCCGTACTGTTGCAATTGATGGAGTTCGACGGGAGACAACTCGATATACCATAGTAGAATAAAAAAAAGGTGTTTCGTAACACAAAATATCAGCCAAGTAAAGGCCCTAAAAATTAACTTACAATTGTAACTTTTTGTGCAGACATTTTGTTCTCGACGTAAGGGGTATTTCCGTCGAAAATGTGTCAATTCTCGACGGAAGGGCGTTTATACTTCAGTTCTGCGATTTTCTGTCTTCGACAGAGCCCTAATTGGCATTAAAAGGGTGTATCGCCTTCGACAACATTTCAAATTCGCGGCAGATTTTTTTCCTTCGACGAAAATTCAGACGTGATGTTCGACAAGAGGTGCTTCTGGGATGTTCGACAATACTTAGGGATCTTGCTAAACGTTTCGACGAAGCACATTAAAATACTTTGCCCTTACACTTTCATATTTTTGTCGAAACGGTACTCTATTACTTTCTGTCGAACAAGGGAAACTCATTCGATATGGTTCCGATTTCACACTCGGGAAAAAGGATTTACCGAGACGCTGTTCGATGAAATAAATTATTGACAGCAGAGGGCGTTTCTAGATTTTGGTTGTCAACATCTGCAATCGACGCGGAAATTGTCGAGCTGCGCTTTCTCCCCATTCGTCAAAAGGAAAGATTTCGACGGAAAGGCAAAACGGTCGAGACGTTTATAACACTCGACCAAGCATATCTACCGTCGCCTGCAACCCGTTTCATTTCTATTTGTAGCATCGAGACTCACAATCACATAACCAATCAACAATGTTCGAGTTTTACAATACGTTAATACACGTCGTGAACGCGTACAATCGACATAAGCAATGCTATTGTTGCACTAGAGTTTGACAACTGCATTTTCTTATCCCATCAAAAATACTAGATTGTTTTAAAGGTAGGAAACAGTTGCAAAAAAAAATCATTATATTCAACAAGCTCCAGCTTTCTAATTTCGTATGGTTTTTACAATACCTGAAAAGGTCGGTACTTCACATATGGCAATTATTCGTCGCCAGACTGTCTTCAACAACATCTTGTTTTAAGTTGTATCAACGCAACATCTATCTCGACATCGGTGCGTTCTAGCGCGTATGAAATTGCTAGTGCATTACGCGATCTGGTCGATGATGGGATCCAGTCGACGACGGGATCCTAGCGTAGGCTCTGCTCGACGGGATCCAGTCGACGACTTCGATGGGCATTGCTAGTGCACGATAGTGGTCGACGGGGCCCTTCGATGGGCACTGCTCGACGTGCGCTGCTCGACGAGCTGGTCTCGGCGAACGTTGTTCGACCAAGCAGTGTCGAGCCGGACGATGAAAGTTACTCGACTGCAATACCTGGCTTCTTAGCGAAAGTCGCCCAGGAGGTCTTAGAAAAGCCGACCTGCGGAACATCGTCACTTGCTCTATGGCGCGCGGGTAGTGAAATCGTCGACACATGTTCTACCTCGCATCTGCGATATATGTCTGGCGGTGCGACCGTCGACCTGCACCTCCTTCGTATACTACCGTATCATATTGTTGTTATTTGTTTTAATTCAGGCCTGAGTATTCAATGCAGTCGATAGCATAATCCAACGTCAATGGAGATGTTAGCAATTATTGAAACAACGATATGGATGGGAACATTTTTCTACAGTTCTGAAGGATGAATAATAATATTAAAGTTGGTGATAGAGCTATTAACAAGAATTTTAGGGATTGCCCTTGTTTCCCAGGGCCTCCAATTCCTTATCAAGTTTGCCCACCGCAGTTTATGTATTTATTCATTTTACGCATACGTTTTTTTTCCAGTTGCAGCTGTGCTCTGTATCGAACTGCTCTGTGGCGCGTTACAGCCGCACTTTCTCTGCAGCACTTTCCGTCGAGTTTAGACGGAATCCGTCGAGGGAGGCGGATTTCCTCGACGGACGTGGGGGAGCAGCTGGCGTCATCGCCAGCTCGTGCGGGGACCACTCCGAGCTGGCGGGGCTCGTTTCGGGCGGGCTGGGGGGTCGGCTCCCGCCCCTCGCGTGCTTTGCTAGGCGACGGCGGGAAAACGAAAATCCCTCCGGGAAAAACCCGCAGGGGCGAAAGCGGGTTCCCGGAGGGATTCGGGCGAGGTCTTCCCCACGAAACCATACTTTCTGAGGGGCCCCATTTTTGGGATGATGCAGCACCCAGCCATGCAGCACCCAGCCATGCAGCACCCAGCCATGCAGCACCCAGCCATACGTCACCTCAACAGGACACCGATTGTGCTCTGAGCAGGACGAACCTGATCGGGCAGAATGGTCAACGGCAAAGACGACGAAATGGCCGCCCGGAAGGGTACATGGAAAATGGATGCTATAATTTATCGCAGCAAGTACAGAATGAGGATAAGGAGCT